TTTCAGTATTCAATGCTTCGTGAGATCACATGGAGTGAATTGAGTTGGCTGAGATGTTGATCAACATCTAGTTGCCACTTCTGGCTGTAGGATGTTCCAAATGCTTCAGCCTTGTGTTTTGTACTGATGTGCTGAGCTCCCCCATCATTGAGGATGATGTTTATAAAGTCTTCTCCTCCAGTGTATTGTTTAATTTTTCACCATAATTCATGACTAGATGTAGCAGGACTACAGAACTAAGATCTGATCAGTTAGTTGAGAAATCACTTGGCTCTTCCTATCACTTACTGCCCTACTGTTTATGCTGTTTGACGCACAAGTAATCCTGTTTTGCAGCTCCACCAGTTTGACACCTCATTTTTACATATTCTTGTTACTGCTCCCTGCATGCCCTCGGAGTCATAGTTATAGAACATGGAAACAGACCCTTCGATCCAACCAGTCCATCCAGACCATAATCCCAAACTAAACTAGTCCCACTTACCTGCGCTTGGCCCATATCCCTCCCAAGTATTTCCTGTTCATGTACTAATCGAAATTTCTTTTAAACGTTGTGACTGTACCTGCAACCACTACTTCTTTGGAATTTCATTTCACACGAACTACTCTGTAACAAAAATTGCCCCTCATGTCTTCTTTTAATCTTTCTCCTCTCACCCTAAAAAAAATGCCCTCTAATTTTGAAATCCCCCACCCTAGGGAAAAGACACCCACTATTCACCTTATCTGTACCCCTCGTGATTTTATAAACATCTGTAAGGTCACCCCTTAACCTCCTACACTCCAGTGAAAAATATCCCAGCCTCTCCTTATAACTCAAACTTTCCATACCCAGCAACATCATAGTAAATCCCTCCTGAACCCACTCCAGTTTACTAATATCCTTCCTATAAGTCGGCGACCTGAACTGGACACGGTACTCCAGAAGAGGCCTCACCAACGTCCTGTGCAACCTCAACATAATATCTTAACTCCTATACACAAAGGTCTGAGCAATGAAGGCAAGCGTGGTAAACACCTTCTTGACCACCCTATCTTTATGTGCTGTAAATATCAAAGAATTATGTGCCTGAACCCCTAGGTCTCGCTGATCTACCAAACTTTCCAAGGCCCTGTTTTTAATTGCATAAGTCTTGCCCTTGTTTGTTTTACCAAAATGCAATACCTCACATTTATCTAAATTAAACTCCAACTGCCATCGTTCAGCCCATTGACCGAATTGATCAAGTTCTCTGATGACTCTTCCATCCTATGTTTGCCTGTTTAGAGTCAGAGAGTCATATAGCATGGACCAGACCCTTTGGTCCAACCAGTCTACCCTGACCATGTTCCCAAACCACACTAGTCCCACCTGCTTGCATTTGGCCCATATCCCTCCAAACCTCCAAATATATTTTCAAGCGAACTGTACCTGCATGCACCACTTCCTCTGGATGTTCATTCCACACACACATCCGTCACTGTGTTTTAAAAAAAAATTGCCCTTCATGTCCATTTTAAATCTTTCTCCTCTCATCTTAAAAATATGCCCCCTAGTTTTGAACACCCCCACCTTGGGGAAAAGACCTTTGCTATTCACCTTTTCTGTGCCCCTCGTTGAGTCATAATCGTACAACACGTAAACAGACCCTTTATTCCAACCAGTCCATGCCAAACATAATTCCAAACTAAACTAGCCCCACCTGCCTGTGCCTGGTGCATATACCTCCAAACCTTTTCTATTCATGTACCCAGCCAAATGTCTTTTAAACATTGTAATTGCACCCACATCCACCAATTCCTCGAAGTTCATTTGACGTGCAAACTACCCTCTGTGTAATGATTTCATAAACCTCCATAAGGGCACCCCTCAACCTCCTATGCTGCAGTGAAAAGTCCCAGCCTATCTGGCCTATTTTTATAACTCAAACCTTCCATTCCCACTAACGTCCTGGTAAATCTTTTCTGAGCACTCTCCAGTTTAATAATATTCTTCCTATAACAAGGCAACCAGAACTGCACACGGTACTCCAGCAGAGGCCTCACCAATGTCCTGTGGAACCTCAACATGATGTCCCAACTCCTATATTCAGAAGTCTGAGCAATAAAGGCAAGTGAGCTAAACATCTTCTTTACCACCCTGTCTACCTGTGTTGTACATTTCAAAGAATTATGTACCTGAACCCCTAGGTCTCTGTTCTACAACACTACCCAGGGCCCTACCATTCATTGTACAAAACCTGCCTTTTTTTGTTTAACCAAAATGCAAGACCATGCATTTATCCAAATTAAACTCCACAGCCCATTGAGCCAATTGATCAAGATCGCTTTGTAATCTTAGATAACCTTCTTCACTGTCCAATATACTGCCAGTTTTGGTGCGATCTGCAAACTTGCTAACCATGCCTTCTATATTCTCATCTAAATCATTTATATAAACAACAAACAAAAGTGGACCCAGTACCGATCCTTGTGGAACACCGCTGGTCACAGGCCTCCAGTCCGAGAAACAACCCTCTGTCTCCTATCGTCAAGGCAATTTTGTATCCGGTTGTCAGGCTCACCGTGAATCCCATGTGATCTGACTTTACTAATTGGTCCACCATGCAAAACCTTTCAAAGGCTTTCTAAAGTTCAAATAAACAAGGTCTACCGCCATGCCTTCATCGATCTTCTTGGTTACTTGCTCAAAAAACTCAACCATGTTTGTGAGACATGATTTCCCTTGCACCAAACCATGCTGATAATCATTCCTTGTCACTCCAAATGCATATAAATCTGATATTTCATAATCACTTTCAACAACACATCCACCACTGAAGTAAGATCACAGGTCGACAGTTCCCAGGCTTTTCCTTACATCCCTTCTTAAACAAAAGCACAACATTAGCCATTCTGCAGTCATCTGGCACCTCGCCCATAGTTATAGATGATACAGATATTTCTGCAAAGGGCCCCACAATTTCCTCTCCAATTTCCCATAATGTCCTGGGATACACTAGATCAGGTCTCTGAGATTTATCCACCTTTGTTTCTTAAGATCTCCAGCACCACCTCTTCTGTAATGTGAATTGTTTTCAAAACACAAATATTCATTTCTCCAAGTTCTCTAGCATCCACAGTAAAAACTGACGCAAAATAATCATTTAATATCTCTCCCATTTCCTGAGTTTCAACACAAAGATGACCCCTTTGATCTTTAAAGGGCCATATCTGTCTGTAGTTGCTGTCTTGCTTTTAATGTACTTTGGCTTATCCTTAACCTTATTTGCCAAGGCTGTCTCATATACCCTCTTTGCATTCCTGATTTCCCTCTTAAGAATGTTCCTACACTCTTCATACTTTTCAAGAGATTCATTTGATCCCAGTTGTCTATATCTAATATGATTTTTTTTGTTCTTGCCTCGAACCTCTATCTTTATTCATCCATTGTTCCTAATCCTACCAGCCTTACTTTTCACTCTAACAGGAACCTAATGACTGAACTCCCATTATCACATTTTTGAAAGCCTCCTGCTTATCAGATGTCCTTTACCTGCGAATAGTCTACACCAGTAAATTTTTGAAAGTTCTTGTCTCATACCATTAAAATTTGCCTTACTCCAATGAAAAACATTAACTTTTATGGAAGGCTTATCCTTTTCCGTAACTATTTTAAAAGAAATAGAATTACAATCACTGGACCCAAAGTGTTCGCCTGATATGCCTTGTCTTATTAGCCAAGAAAGGTCAAGTTTTGCTCCTACTCTCGTAGGAACATTTATGTATTGAGAAACAAAATTTCCTTGAACACACTTAACAAATTCTTCACCAACCAGATCTTTAACACTAATGGTATTCCCAGTCAATGTTTGGAAAATTAAAATCACCTATTGTTACAACCTTATTATTCTTAAATATATCTGAGATCTCTCTACATTTCTCTTCAATTTCTAACTTCCACCGATATATTTTCATTGGACTGTTTTTCAGAATTATCTTCTCTAGTTACAGTAGTAAGATTTTACTTAACGTTTTCTGTGATCTCCTCTTTGAACCATTTCATAGCATTGCATACGATATGTAGAAACCTAGAAGATAGGAACGGGCCTTTTGACCCCTTAAGTCTGCTTTGCTATTCATGATCAAGGCTGATCGTTGAGCTAGTACCGTAACCCCCAACCCTGCCAATTATTCCATGATCCAGTCTGTTTCTGTGTTGTATGACTCTATGATTCCATAATTAGTTTGAGCTTCCGGATTGCTAGTTTAGTAAAATAGTCACTGTACACCTTTTTCTAGAGTGCTCAAGGAATTGAACTTTGAAGGTGTGGGTTGTTAAAGCAGTTGGGAGAGCATTCAAATTCAGTGAGATTAATTCAGTTAACAGTAGGTTGAGTAATGTCTGAAGAAGGGTGTAGGCCCGAAACGTCAGCCTTCCTGCTCTTATGATGCTGCTTGGCCTGCTGTGTTCATCCAGCTCTACACCGTGTTATCTCAGATTCTCCAGCATCTGCAGTTCCTACTATCTCTGAGTAATGTCATATATATTTGAATAGAAAGCAATAAATATGTGCAAAATGAAAAATCTCATTTAACAAAGATGAAAATGTTTACATATTGTTTATTGAAAGTTTCCATTTGATCTGTCACTGTTACCAATTTAATAAGATGGGTTGCAATAAGAAAATGCTAGAAATACTCAGCTGGTTTGGTATCATCAAAATTTACTCTTTCAAAAGAGAGCCCACATTAATGTTTTAGGATGAGGACGAAGGCCCTTAAATCTGTCTCTTCACATGCTGCCAGATCTGCTAAATGTTTCGAGTATGTTATTTTCAGTTTTTTTTAATTTCTGATTTTTGAAATCTGAAGTATCCAGTGTTTTGCTTTCATGTTACAGTAAGTTACATTTAGGTAGCATTTATTCTGTCAAAATTAATTATTCTCATCCATAAATCACGTCCAGTTTCAACATCCATCCCCCATGTGGGCAAAGAAGAGATAAAGATGAAACCGGGGCATAAGTAAGGAAAAGTTCATGGAGCCGAACTCGTTTTTGCAGAAGAAATTAACAACGTTGATAAATGATCTAACTTTTAAGCGCTCAGAGGCAGTAGAGATTCCGTAGAAATAAGGTACATGCTGCTACTAGTCTTGCTTAGCGTTAGTGCACTAATTCAGTGTTTATAGTAAAACCTAAGCAAACCAATTTTAATAGTATAACAATATACTGTCCGTGCAATACATTTAATTTATCACTTCTAATTGCTTCTAGCATTGCCACCAACGATGACATATCGTAAGCTGCTAATACGTTAGTTATGTGCTTCGAGTTCAGCAGACAGTTTGAGTTTGGAAGCACAGAATCCAGGATTGCAGTCCTGGGTATTTTCTGTAGTTCAGATAGGCTTAATTTGCAAACCTGCCTTGTCCACCATCAGGTTTATGAAGGTTTAGTGACACCGATAAAGACTGAGTGTAAGCTCAAAGCTTGCACGCACAAGTGTAATATTAAACAATGCTCAAATGAAAGTATAAATTAAAATAAACATTTCGCTTCTTAGCTCAATTCTATACTGGTTAAATGGATTCTCAAACAAAAACACAAATCCTTCACAAATGGACTGTACAAAAACTGGAAGAAGACAGGGACCAAGTTAACGGTTACTTTTCTGCATGCTGGTGATAGTGGTCGTGGTACCCCTCGGACTTTAACTCTGGAGTCATTTCTATTTGTTGTACACATCAATGATTTGAATATTGTCATAGAGAGAAGAGTATTAAGCTTTGCAAATGACACCAAAACTGGGTGATACAGTTGATTATTGTGCTCAAAGGTAACTCAATGAGGAGGATAATGATTTGATTGTGAATAGGCTAAATAGTGGTGAATATATTTCACTGTCCATAAGTAATTAGGTGATGTGCTTTGGTCTTTAAAGAAGCAACAGCAGTAATTGCATTCTGATTAAACTAGTCTCAAGGTTATGGAAGAATAGAGGAGTTTGAGGCCAAAGGTTCCCAGAACACTAATACAAAAGTTCAAGACACAAAATTCAAGGGGTGATAATGAGACTCTAAGTCTTAAGGCCTCAGAGTATGGTGCAGCATTGGTCAGCATGTGTTGGAAGAATATTAGAGCTTTGACAGTACAGCACAGATTTACAAGCTGTTTTGTTTTATTCATTTACAGGATGAGGGCATTGCTGGCATTTATTGCCCATCCCTAATTGTTAAGAGTCAACTACATTGCTGTGGGTTTTTCCCAACAATCAACAATGGATTCATGGTCATCATTAGACTCTTAATTCCAGATTTTTATTCAATTCAAATTCCACCATAATGGGATTTGAACCCCGTCCCCAGAACATTACCTGGGTCTCTGGATTAACGGAGCCAGCAGTAATACCACTAAGTCTATCTTTGTATTTCTTATTTCTTATTTCCTGGAATTTATCTTTGGTCGTCACAATGGTCAATATACTTAAAACATTTTGTTTAACATACTTTGGGTGTTCTGTTATGAAAGGCATTAAATAGGTGCATGTAATTTGAGTTTTATAATTAAATGACGTGATTGAGTCAACACTTTGTATTCCCAGAAATACTAATCACTGAAAAGTGATTTCAAAAGGTGCTGATAATGGTATTGGTCCACTGGCAATAAAACTTAATATATTCATTCTGTCGCATTGCCAGTTTTCTGATTAAAAAGTTTCTTTAATGGCGTTGCCCAGCATCGCGTACTTTTAATTATTGCACTTCTCCAATGAGAATTTGGGAAATTGCTTCCTAAAACACACTGGTCCAAAATTTGCATTTGCAATAATGGTTGCAACAAATTTGCAACAAATAAAACTGTCAACAATTACCATAATTACTACAGGTGACACCTGCACCACCATGAGGTGTGATGTGGACGCAATCTACATAGGATCGCTAAATCACATGAGCAATCAGTCTGTAACTGTACTGAAAGAATTTGGCTGGATGTGCAGCAAATTCTGAAGCACAAGTCTTCAGTACTGTTGCTGGAATGTTGTCAGGGCCCACAGCCTTTGCGGTTTCCTCCAACTGTTTCTTGATATCATGTGGAGTGAATTGAATTGGCTGAAGACTGGAATCTATGGTGCTGGTGACCAATGGAGGAGATGGATCATCCACTCGGCACTTCTGGCTGAAGATTTCTGTGAATGCTTCAGCCTTATCTTTTGCAATGATGTGTTGGGTTCTCCCCATTTAAGAATGGACATATTTGTGGAGTTGCCTACTCCAGTGAATTGCTTAATTGTCCACCACCATTCACGACTGGATGTGGCAGGACTGCAGAACTTGTGTCTGATCTGTTGATTGTGGGATCGCTTAGCTCTGTCTATCACTTGCTGCTTATGCTGTTTGACATGCAAGTAGTCCGATTTCGTCGCTTCACCAGTTTGATACTTCATTTTTAGGTATGCCTGGTGCTGTTCCTGGCATGTCTTCCTGCACTCTCTGTTGAACAAAGGTTGACTCCTAAATAAAACCAAAAGAACTGCGGATGCAGTAAGTCTCGAGCAAAAACAAAGTTGCTAGAAAAGCTCAGCAGGTCTGGCAGCATCTGTGAAGGAAAAAGCAGAGATAACGTTTCGGGTGTGGTGACCCTTCCTCAGATCCCTGGCTTGATGATAGTAATGTTTGACTGGGGCATATGCTGGGCCATGAGGTTGCATGAATAATGCCAATGTTGGAGATTCCAGAACTGGGACTGTGTGGCAGTGGTGAGCCCACCTACTTGCTAGAAAAATTCAGGGTCAAGTGTATTACCCTGAAAGCCTCGACTCAAAATGGTGAGATAACAAGGTGTAGAGCTGGATGAACACAGCAGGCCAAGCAGCATCAGCGGAGCAGGAAAGCCGACATTTCAGGTCTAGATCCTTCTTCAGAAATGGTGATTGTTCAGGCAGTAAATAGCCTACAGTAGTGACTTCTGCATCATGAAGGCCAGCATCGCTGCATTGCCAGCAGGGACACTGAGTGATGTTGGAACTGCAGTAGGCCCTGAGCTAGAAACCATTCAGCAGTCTGCAGAGTGCAGGTAATTAAGTGAAGTATGTACATACTAAGGCCAAACTGCATAGCATGTCCTGCTGTCTAATATTTTTACATTATCCACATTTCCCATCCCAGTCCAGAAGTGGTTTGCATGCATGCGCATGCAGGTGTATGTGTGAATACTGTACACAGTCCTCCACATTCTCCAGTTCTCAATATCATCCTGAACAAGTGTAGCATATCCTTCTTACTTTTGTATCCAATTTCCCTCAACATTCATAAATAACGGGCCAAATTCTGCAAATAGCAGCAAAGGGACAACAATCACCACACCGCTCCAAGACAGAATTTGCAAAATGATACTGCAGAATGTAGATTTTCTTCATTCCATGGGAATCTATGATGGTCAGGGGTGGCAGGAGAGATGAAAGGGGAAGGTGATAGCTTGGTGGTATTTTCACTACATTCGTAATCCAGAAACTCAACTAATGTTCTGGGGACCCAGGTTCTAATCCCACCATGACTGATGGTGGAAGTTGAATACAAGAAAAATATCCAAAATTAAAGAATCTCCTCATTCATGAGCCAATGCCCTTTTAGGGAAAGAAATCTGCCATCCTCACCTGGTCTAGCCTACATGTGACTTCACCCTACAGCAATGTGATTGACTCTCAATTGCTCATTGAAATGGCCTAGCAAGCCATTCCATTGTATCACATTGCTACAAAATCTCAACAGAGAAATAAAACTGGATGAAACACCCAGCATCGACCTGGGCATCAGGAAAGACAACAGCAAGAACAGCTCTGTTGATCTTGCTAAGTTCTCCTTACTAACATCTGGGGGCTGGAACCTAAATTGGGAGAGGTGTCTCACAGCCTAGTTGAAAAAAAATCATACTCCCAGAATCATACCTTCTAGATAGAATGTCCCAGACACTACCATCACCATTCCTGGTGATGTCTCATCCCACTGACAGGGCACGCCCAGCAGAGATGATGGCACGTACACAGCATAAATTGGGAGGAATGCCCTGGGAGACCTCAACATTGATTCCAGACCCCTTAAAGTCTCATGGCTTCAGATTGAACATGGGCAAAGAAACCTCTTGCTGATTATCACCTAGTAAGGGAATTGATGATAAGAAGGAAGATACTCGACCTCAACCTTACCAATCTGCTCATTGCAAATGTATCTGTCCGAGACAGTATCAGTAAGAGTGATCATCATTCAATCCTTGTGGAGACGAAGTCCTGCCTTCACAGTTGAGAACACCGACTGATGTGTGGCACTATCACTGTGCTGAATTTACATCATGGGTTATTTTTAAAGATATTTTTAAAACAAATTAGCTTAGCAAACCTCTGAAGTTTTTTGTGCTCTTGGAATGAAGTCTTGACAAAAGATAGTTGGGAACTTATTGAAGCGTGTAGAATGAGTGGACTTGTAGAAATGCAGGACAGTCCAGCACAGGAACAGCTCCTATGACCATAATGTGCCAACTGTGATGAGATTGCTAAGGCAAAAACAAAATACAAACTGCAGAACAGATTTTAAATAGGGAGACTACTGTCATTCTGAAAGTTTATAACAGCCACTTTACATTCCTCCCCAAACACAACCATTTTCCTCAGTAGTGACACTTTTTTTCTTCTTTCCTTCACTTTATAAGTTTTAGGGCTGCCCATGTTTCTTAGTTAACATAAAAATAGCGGAAGAAGATAGTTAGCTGAGTAGTAATTTACACAGAATTGTGGCCTTCATACTGTTCGCAACTGAATAGGGTCTTAAGAAGAAGCAAAAATGTAACTACTGCTTACACAGAGACAATTATGACTATGACTGATAGAAGACCATCTTGCAAGCTAATTTAAAGCATGCTATTTAATATGAGATAGACGGAGAAAAGCCTGACTCTTATTAGTTTAGGACCCGTTAGGTGATTGTAATCACATGCAAATACACATATATAATGATTTTAATTTGAGATCAAGGAATTTAATTGGATTTCTGTAGAGTCAGCTTTAGACGCAGACTGTGTCTTGATAAGGAACATCCTTGAAAAACATTGTTTGAGGTCCCTTTTACCAGCTGGCTCAAAGTTTGTGAATTAGTAAAAGTTAGAAGAAATACCCTGATACCACAATAATTAAGACTGTAGGTGATTATCACTACATATTAATATATACACCTCTACAGGTATACTGAAGTTCTAAATGCAACTAACAAACTACTATTTAACTGAATTCCTATGGACGGACAGCCTTAGACAGTAGAGAGAAGCCTCCATCCTGCTAGCAGAAGGAATTGAATAACAGATGTCGAATTCAGCAATATTGGAATGTGGTTGAATAAGGTGCATAGTGAAAATCCAAGCATAGGTAGTAAGGATGTCTGCTAAATATCATGAGATCATGGAAAGATAATCATTTACCACGCAGTTGATTATCCTGATTACATACATTTCCAATCAATAACACGATCGGTTTGCAATTGGTTTGTAAATAAACAGTTAGGTGGGCTGAAAACAAATGTCTAAAAGTTCATCTTTCCTTTTGTTCAGTGAAGAAGCTTCTGAACTCCCAGAGGTTTCTTACCACGAATATAGCATCAATAAATTCTTTGGTACTGGAAGTGAACTCTGGGTGTTAAATGATTCATTTAGTCATTCTGCCCCAGCACCATTCAAAACTTGACGCAAGTCCTGCACGTGGTCCATATTCTTCTCTTCCTTTTCTATTTCCATGTCTGTCGAAATGCTTCTTAAATTTTCCTAATGTATCTGCTTCTACCACCTCCCTTTGCAGTGCTCCCAGACATCTACCTGGTTTAAAAAAACTTTCCTTGCACATCTTCATTAGCGGAACTGGCTCAAAGGTGGAAGACAGAGGGTGGTGGTGGGGTGGGGGGTTGCTTTTCAGACTGCAGGTCTGTTACCAGCAGTGTGCCACAAGGATTGATGTTGGGTCCACTGCTTTTCATCATTTATGTAAATGATTTGGATGTGAACGTAGGAGGTATGGTTAGTAAGTTGCAGATGACAGCAAAATTTGAGGTGTAGTTAAGCTAAGGAGGTTACCTCAGTCAGTGGGATCTTGATCAGATGGGCCACTGGGCCAAGGAGTAACAGATAGAGTCTAATTTAGGTAAGTGAGAGGTACTGCATTTTGGAAAGGCAAATCAGGGCAGGACTTACCATTACCACTCCTGCGGAGTGTTGCTTGAACAAAGAGACCTTGGAGTGCAGGTTCATAGTTCCTTGCAAGTGGAGTTGCAGGTAGACAGGATAGTGAAGAAGGCATTTGATATACTTGCCTTTATTGGTCAGTGCATTGAGTATAGGAGTTAGGAGGTCATGTTGCAGTTGTACAGGACATTGGTTAGGCCGGTTTTGGAATACTGCGTTCAATTCTGGTCTCTCTGCTATAGGAAGGATGTTGTGAAACTTGAAAGGGTTCAGAAAAGATTACAAGGATGTTGCCAGGGTTAGAGGGTTTGAGCTATAGGGAGAGGCTGAATAGGCTGGTGCTGTTTTCCCTAGGGCATTGGAAGCTGAGAGGTGACCTTTATAGAGGTTTATAAAAAGATGAGGGGCATGGATATGGTGTATAGCGAGGTCTTTTCACCAGGAAAGAGGAATCCAAAACTAGAGGGAATAGAAGGTGAGAGGGGAAAGATTTAAAAAAGGGACCTAATGGGCAACGTTTTCATGCAGAATGTGATGCGAATATGGAATGAGCTGCCAGAGGAATTGGTGGACGCTGGTACAATGACAACATTTAAAAGGCATCTGGATGAGTATGTGAATAGGAGGGCTTTAGAGGTATGTGGGCCAAATGCTGACAAATGGGCCTAGATTAATTTAGGATATCCGGTCAGCTTAGTCGAGTTGGACCGAAGGACCTTTTTCTGTGCTGTACAGCTATATGATTCTATCATCTTTCCCCTCTCAACTTAAACCTGTGCCTCCTGAGTATTTGACATTTCCACCCTGGGGAAAAAGACTCTGCCTATCAACCCTTTTATTGTTTGGGTTTTGTAGTGTGATCCTCTGAGTTAAAATATTACTTGACCTACAGTGCATACGTTTTTGATAATTTAGCAAAATTTGGATTTTCCACTCTCCCACTTATTATGATAGTAAAATATCTACCTTGAGTTTGAAGAATAGAACAATGGTGAACAATCGTCACCATTATCTTCCTAAAAATCATCCACTGTCAAACAAGCCTGAAATGGAACGTAACTGAAAAATAATGCATGCTTACAGACCAAAACTGCAAATCATAAAGTCCAAAGTGTGCCATTCATTGTTATGTTGAACTAAAACAAAGTCATAAAGCTATAATTCAAGCACTTTGAAAAAAATAATTGGGTACAGGATCATAAAGCTAAAACTGAAGAGATGGTTTAACAATAAATAGGTTCAATAAAAAAAAAATCCAATGACGCCTGTTGGATAAATGTAAATGCTGAGGGGTTGTTTCTCCCCTGTGGAACAGTCTAGGACAAGAGGGCATATTCTTTAAAGGGTCACTTGATTAGAAAAAAGATGAGAACCAATTTCTTTTGAGTAATGAAATCATGGCATTATCTACTGCAGACGGCTTTTGAAACTGGGTTGTTATAGAGAGATTTTTAATCTTTGACCGCTTGGATCAAACCCCAGTATCAGTCCTCTGTATTGCCACCCATGTTTTTGAATATGAAATTTATTATAAATTTAAATCTTCCCCTGGTTTTGCATCGCAGTGTTTTGAGCAATGCCATTTGTTGTATACTGGACTGTTCCAGAAATAAGTGATAGGGTGAATAGCCAAGATCTTTTTCCCAGGGTAAGGGAGTGTAGAATTTGAGGGCATAGGTTTAAGGTGAGAGTGGAAAGATTTAAAAGGACCTAAAGGAGCAACTTTTTCACACAGGGTGGTATGTGTATGGATTGAACTGCCAGAAGAAGTGGTAGAGTCTGGTGCAATTATGATATTTAAAAGGTATCTGCATGGATACATGAATAGGAGGGGTTTAGAGGGATATGGACCAAATGCTGGCAAATAGGACAAGATTAATTTAGGATACCTGGTCAGCATAGACGAGTTGGACCTAAGGGTCTGTTTTTGTGTTGTATGACTCTAATTGGTTGTTGAGGAAAAAACAGTTCTGTACCTTTCCTATATTAGAACACAAATGATGGTACAAATAACACTTGCAATCCAATAACCTTATTTAACATAATATACATTTCCTTCTTTCCATAGCTTCTCTAGAAATGTTTTTCTTTAGTCATAATTATAGTCATAGAAACACACATTTTGGCCCACCATGTCTATGTCAACCAATAAACACCAAGCTACACTAATCCCATTTACCTGTACTTGGTCCGTAGCCTATTAATCATACTTGCCATATTAATATTAATAAAGTCAAATAGTATAAAAAAGAACTTTCAAAATAAATTTTATTTCTCCTGGTTGGTCTGCCAATTTTAGGCATGTTGATAGTGACGGGCAGCTCTGTTGCAAGAACTAGTTAAAGGCCCAGAAGGCAGGAAACATTCATAATGGCCTTTGCAGTACAAGAGCACCATCAGTTGATTTTGACATCTTGGTACAGACGCCCCTCTGTCTTCATCTAAGTGACCTTGGGTAATGTGGCTTCTTCTTGAAGGAGGATGTTGCAATGTTGCCTAACTACAAGTTTGAAAATAATTTGAAACGTCCTCTGAAATCTATATTTAGTTGTTTAACCACTTTGGGGCTGTGCTGGCAGGAGTTGTAGGTTCCAGCACAGAAATAAGGTAGAATTTGTCAATCTTGTAACTTTTTTTTTGGAATATTTGACCTGTTGCCAATCTCTTGGAGACTAATTATGATTTTTTTTTGTTTATTTTAGGTACTGGTAACATAGTCGCAGTCATGATTTCTGAACGTAGAGGTCGTGAGATTCTGAGTTACATAGAAAAAAACTTCACTGTTTTGATGTCTATAGCGGTTGGAACAGCACATTTTCCACAGTACAGCCGTGGCTCTCTTGTTTTTGTGTCCATCTCATTTATTGTGCTGATGATCATTTCTTTGGCTTGGCTGATCTTCTATTTCATCCAAAAGTTCAGATATGCAAACCTACGTGGGCGGAACCAGGTCAGTGACTTTCATTTTTGAACTTCTGCTAGATTTTAGATTAACTGAGACTTAACATGCTGCTGAAGTATGATTTTGATTTTGTGAAGATGGTGGAAAAAGCCAAATTAAAGGAGACAGGTTTTGGTGGTTAAATTTCACCATTCCTTTTCCCAATCCGTGCAGAAATGAAGAATGCACTAAAGCTTAGTACTGAGTGAAATGTCTGAACAATCTGTGTTTATTTTTCAGAAATTTAAAAAAAAAACAGTTGTGATCCCAACTCTGTCACAACAGCAGTATCAGCAAGCTTGGAAACCTGAAGTTCTGCCCTGAAAATGGCATTTCTGTGCTGCATTTTCATTTTTGAACGGAATTATTCCAGTAGTTAAGTGGGGCTGTTAATATTGTCTCCATGTTGTCAATGAAATCTTTTTTTTCCCTAAAGATGTTATCACAAATATGAGTGCAAATTTATGCATTCATAAATAAAAGAATGATAGAATCATAGAGTACAGAAGATGCCCTTCGGCCCATCAGTTTGTATAACCAAAAATATATTTCTACCCACACCAATCCCATTTCCCCTTGCTAGGCCCATAGCCTTGAATGTTATGACAGTTTGCGTTCATCCAGATATATTTTAAAGGTGGTGACGTTTCCCTCCCCAATTACCCTTTTTCAGTAGTGCATTCCAGACCCGACCACCCTCTGTGGAAAAAGTTAATTCTCAAAACACCTCTAAACCTCCTGTCTTTAACTTTAAACTTACGTCCCCTTGTTATTGACCCTTCAACTAAGAGAACAGCTGCTTTCTATCAACGCAGGCTGGAAGAACATCATCTCATTTTCTGCTTGGGGCTCTGCAGCCTTCAGGACTCCATATAGAGTTCAATAACATTAGGGTCTGAGCACCTTCTCCTATGTCCTTACCCTAATCCCTACACACCAGGCCTTGACCTCGCATAGGCTGCTGCCACAACTAAGGCAACGTCAGCCACTAATGGTTTCCATTAGCAGGCTGACCTTTACCTATTCCTTTGACTATCCAACTGTTGTTCTGTCTCTTTGGGCTCCATCTCCATCAATTGTTTCTTACTCCTGCACCCCACCTTCAGCACATATGTACCAACCTTTTCCTAGCTACAATCGGTTTGAAAGAAGTGTCACTGGACCCGAAACGTTAACTCTGCTTTCTCTCCATAGATGCTGCTAGACCTGAGTTTTTTTCCAGCAATTTTTGTTTTTGTATCTGCTTTTTATTCACCCAATCTTGGCCCCTCATAATCAATACACCTCTGTCAGGTCTCCCCTCAACCTTCTCTGCTCTAAAGGAAACAACCTGAGCTTATTCAGCCTCTCTTCATTACTGAAATGCTCCATCCAAGGCAGCCTCCCGATATATCTCCTTTGCATCTTCTCCAGTGCAGTCACTTCCTCCGCATAATCTGGTGACCAGAACTGCATTCAGTATTCCAGCTGTGGCCTAACCAAAGTTCTGTGCAGCTCCAACATGACCTCCCTGCTGTTATTGTCTATGCAATGACTGTTAAAGGCAAGTGTCCTATATGCCATCTTAACTGCCCTGATAACCTGTCCTGCCATCTTCAGGGACTTGTGGACAAGCACCCCAAGATCCCTCAGTTCCTGTGAGGTTCCTAGTGTCTTGCCATTCATTGAATGTTCCAATGTCCTTGTTTTAAATTCCCTTGTGGGACATGGATTTTGCTGGCTGAAGCCATCAGTTATTGCCTGTCCCTACTTGCCCTTAGAAGGTGCTGTTGAGCTGCATCCTTGAGCCGATGCAGCCCATGTGCTGTAGATAGGCTAGCAATGCTGTTAGAGGGAATTCCAGGATTTTGACATGGCAATATATTTCAAATCAGGTTGGTGAGTGGCTTGCTGGGAACCTTGCAAGTGGTGGTGTTCCCATGCATCTGCTGCCCTTACCCTTCTAGAGGAAGTTTTTATGGATTTGGAAGTTGCTCTCTAAGGATCTTTGCTGAATTTCCACAGTGTATCTTGTAGATCATACACATTGCTTCCAAAGTGCATCACTTCACTGGGTTAAATTCCGTCTGTCCATCTCGCCAATATGTATATCTTTCTGTAACCTAACACCTTCCTCCTTACTGTCAAACATCTGGCTAATCTTTGTGTCATAGAGTCCTACAGCACGGAAACAGACCCTTTGGCCCAACCACACCACGCCGACCATAATCCTAAACTAAACTAGTCTCGTGTGCCTGCACTTGGCCCATTTTCCTCCAAGCATTTCTTATTCATGTACTTATCCAAATGTCTTTTAAATATTGTAACTGTACCCACATCCACCACTTCCTCTCCTACAAAGTTACTTGTGATTCCTTCCCACACTCTCATCTACATCATTTGTGAATGTTGCAAACAATAAGGAGCACTGCACACCAACCTCCAGTCACATAAATGGCCTTCTACCACCATCCACTGTCTCTTAGCACTAAACCAATTTTGGATTCATCTTACCAAGTTACCCTGGATCCATGAGCTTTTACCATCTTTATCGGATTCCCATGAGGGGACTTGTCAAAGGCCTTGCTGAAATCTGTATAAACTATATCAACTGCCCTCCCTTCATCCAAATACTTGGTCACCTCCTCAAAAAGTTCAATCAGATTTGTTAGGTATAACCTCCCCTCTGATCCATGATCAGATCTTGCCTCTCTAAATGAAGATTAATTTTCTCCTTCACTATTTTCTCCAATATTTTCCCTACCATTGATGTTAAACTCAGTAGCCTGTAGTTCTCTTGTCTATCCCTACAATTCTCAAAGTTAAACCACATTTATACCACTATTATACTTGGGCATTGACTGAAAAAAAGAGACGTGCTGTCAAGGCTTTTTGTCTTGCACTTAATGTAAGAATGCTAACTTCCAGAGGCAGCACCAATTTGTACTATATGAAGAAAAGAGAAGAGTCAACTCTGGTCAAGGTGCAGTGAACATAGAGAATGCACCAGGGAACTACTGTCCACAATGCCCACACACTCACCATTCTTTTGTTTAGTTTAAAAAAAGTGTTGGTGGCAAGACATATTGCTTTTGCGTGCACTGTTTGGGTCCCTGTGTAGTATATGTAGCTTCTGACAAGCATTAATGAGCCACGTTCTGAACCTGACGGATAATCTTGAATTGGTTGTTAGCATAATTCTTAGTACATTTGGGATTATTCAGCAAAAGTTGTGCAGCTACAGAATCACATTTAAATTAGACATAATTTTCTAAGTCTCGAAAGGATGGGTTGGTTGTGTACATTCAGTACTCTGCCTATTGTGAATAGCGGAAGGTATGTGCTGTTTGTTTGACATGATCCACCAGTAATGAAGATGTAAAGCCTAAATACATCATACCGACTTAGAAATTCATATAACACATTACTAATTTGTGTTCTGGCCAGAACATCTTTTTGACTTGATGGCAACATCCTGTTAATTGACAATACCACAAAATACTACCATGAGTTAGTAACGTGTGTACATTTTTGAGATGAAGTTTAATTTGAATAAATGCGAGGTGTTGCATTATCGTAAAACGAATAAGGGCAGGATTTGTACAGTTAATGGACGGGCCCTGGGGAATGTTTTTCAGCAGAGCGACCTAAAAGTTTCAAGTACACAGTTCTTTGAAAAATGTGTCACAGGTAGATAGGATGGTAAACAAGGTATTCTGCATGAGAAAAAATTACTGCAGATGCTGGAATCCAAGGTAGACAAACAGGAGGGTGGAAGAACACAGCAAGCCAGGCAGCATCTGGAAGAGGGTAAGCAGTCAACATTTTGGGTATCAACCTTCTTCCTGACTGCTGTTTCAGGACAAAACTCAAATCACCCCAGGACCTGAAGAAGTCCTGAAGACGGGTGATACCCGAAACGTTGACTGCTCTTTTCCTCCAGATGCTGCCTGGTTTGCTGTGTTCTTCCAGCCTCCCGTTTGTCTACCAAGGCATTTAGCATGCTTGCCTTCATTGCACAGACCTTTGAATGTAGGAGTTGGGACATCATGTTGAAGTTGTGCAGGACGTTGGTGAGGCCACTTTTGGAGTATAGGATACAGTTCTAGTCACCCTGCTATAAGGAAGGATTTTATTACATTGGAGAGGATTCAGAAAAGATTTACAGGGACGTTGCCAGGACTGGAGAGTTTGAGTTATACAGAGAGGCTGGGTAGGTTGGGTCTTCTTTTGTTAGAGCATAGGAGGTTGAGGAGTGATCTTATAGAGGTTTTATCAGTCATGGGGAGCATAGAAAATGGGAATAGCAAAGATCTTTTCCCTAGGGTAAGGAAATTCAAAACTAGAGGGCGTATTTTTAAAGTGAGAGGAGAAAGATTTAAAAGGAGCCTGAAGAGCACCCTTTTGACAGAAAGGGTAGTTTGTACGTGGAATGAACTGCCAGAGGAAGTAATAGATGCAGGTGCAGCTAGAATATTTAAAAGACATTTAGACAGATACATGAATAAGAAAGGTTTATGGGATATGGGCCAAACAGAGGCAGGTGGGACTAGTTCAGTTTGGGAAACTTCGTTGGCATAGATGAGTTGGACCGAAGGTTCTTTTTCTGTGTTGAATGAATCTATGGCTCCGACCTTTACTCTTTCTGGATAATTTGTGAAAATCTCTTCATGACAGACCTTGATGAACTTTGGCCCTTTCAGTGAGAACGCATGATGTACATTAAGCCATGATCTGATCAAGTAACCATTATCCTGCAGAATAGCTTTAATGAGCTTTATTTCAGAGTCAAGCTTGCACTGTGAGCAAAAAACTTAAGCCCTGGTTAGGAAATTGCCAATGAGGCCAACCTTTGGGATAGTTAAATGTGTTAAATGTGTACTTTGACTGATGAAACCAGGTTTGTAGGGGGCACTAATATAGAACCTACTGGCAGATTTCTCAATTAGCATGAAGAATAAACGAGTTCATTAGGCTGTTCTGTTTCAAAGGTGAATTTGATCACAAGATGGAGTGCATTAAGGTGTATA